AATTATGTCATACCTTAATAGTAAAGTAATTTTGGAAATCTCAGTAATGACTGGGGTTACTGAGTGAACAACTAGGGTTAACTGACATTCTTGGTGCTATTTATGATGTTGATTTGAAGCAATTTTTGGTAGATGGAGTGTCTGATAGGTTATATTTGTCAAGTTAACTATAAATTTTGTCCCTTAAAAATAATAAAAGTTTATAGATTATAAAAAGGAGAAATTATATTTCTGACGTTCTTTAGTTTTTATACTTTAGAATTATCTCTCAAAAAGATTTAATTCTGTTCTTCAAGTATAATTAAAGTATATGGACAGTTGTGCTAGTCTTCCTGTCTTTTTTTTTTTTTTTTAAGCATCTATGTGATTCCCTTCATGTTGAGTATCTACTATAATTTTAGTGTGGAGTGAGAGCTGATGGGCTATAAAAAAAGTGAAATATGTAGATTTTATTTTTCCTCCCAACATTATTCACTAGCCGGGAACATATACACACAAGAAAATTCAAATAATAGTATGAGGCTGCCCATGATTAATGGTCACAAACACGAAGAATAACACTGTTATGTTGTGAATAGGAAAACACTCCTTAGTGTATAGCATTCATTTCTCAGATATTTATTGAGCACCTACTAGTATAGAGCAGTAAAGCATATTACATAACAGGCATTTAAATGTTTGTTGAATATTGCCAGTAAATAAGAAAGGTACTATGTCTGCCCCCAGATTTCTCATAGTTTCATGGGGAAAAAAGAGCCATAGAAATGAATCATTACAACTTGTTGATAAAAGTGCTGATTTGTCGATGTTAGAGTGCTGTGCTGGCTGATCTGGGACAAGAAAGATGAATAGAATTAAATTAGAGGAGGACAGGATAGAGTGGGATGAGAGGGATTTCAGGCCAAAGCAGGGTTTGTAGTGATCAGTGGTAGTGTTTTATATGGAAGTTCTCACTCTAGGATCTGCTTCACAGCGTTCACCAACCCTGGGGAATTATATGCAGTGTTTTGCTCTTCCATGAATTTTTCAGGAGCAAGAGTCTATACTAACTTTTAAAAATTTTATGTATTTATTAGAGAGTGCGCGCGCATGCCCCCAAACGGGGAGGGGCAGGCAGAGGGAGAGGGAGAAGCAGGCTTCCCACTGAGCTGGGAGCTGGATGCATGGTTCCATTCCAGGACCCTGGAATCATGACCCAAGCCGAAGGCAGCCACTTAACCGATTCAGCCACCAAAGTGCCCCATTTTTAAAAAAATTATTATTATTATTAAGATTTTATTTATTTGAGAGAGAGGAGTCTATAATAACTTCCATTAGATTTACTTATACTGTAGAATCATGACCGCAAAATGATTGAGAACCAAGGGCTTAGTCCTTCAGTATAAGTCTGCTCTTGAGCCAACATAGTCCCAGGTGTCAGTCAGGTGGTAGAAGTGTCTTCTTCAGCAAAGACACACCCCTCCTCTCTTATTTCCTCCCATAACCTAAAGTACAAAACATCAGATGGAAATACTTTCTGTATTAGTCTTGGAGCATCCATGTCTCTCTCTCTCTCTCTCTCTCTCTGTCTCTCTTTCTCTCTGTGTTTGTGTGTATGTGAGAGAGAAAGAGAAATTGAGTGAAGTTTGTATTTTGCATCAGGTATAGTTGAAACTAGGGAGATTGAAGAGTGTAAAAATTGATAGTGATAGTTGCTGAATTCTCCTGTTTCTTGAGGGAAAAGAAACTTCATCCTCATACTTACCCATCTTTACATTTAACTGAGAAACTAATTCTCTGTTGGGTTGGGGGTCAGGGCCACAGTGCTCAGTGACTTCACTAATTTTGTCCCAACCTTCTCTGAGGTACTTGGTAACTTTGCTAACTCTCTGCTCTATCACTGCTGAACATGACATTTGAGACTGGTTCCTCATGCAGAGATAAATCAGTTGCAAATCCAGTACTTATAAAACTGAGTAAAAATACTGCAGTTGACCCTTGAACAACATGGTTTGAACTCTACAGGTCCACCTACACCTGTATTTTTTTGGGGGGGAGGGGTAAATATAGTACAGTACTATAAATGTATTTCCTCTTCCTTATGATTTTCTTAATATTTTCGTTTCTCTAGCTTGCTTTATTATAAGAATACGGTATATAATACACAAAACACAAAATCTGTATTAATCTCTTTATGCTATTGGTAAGGCTTCTGGTCAGCAATAGGGTATTAGTACTTAATTTTTTTGGGGATTCAAAAAGTTATACGCAGATTTTCAACTGCATGGGGGTTGGAGCCCCTATAACCCTTGGAATGTTGAAGAGTCAGCTGTACTTCACCCATAGCAATTTTGTGTTCGCATGTTTCTCTTTCATTGTGTAGGAAATCACTGATCACATAGAAACTGATTAGCAGTTGAAAATCACTAAGTCATTTATGACTATCATTTGGAACCAGATAGTTTCAGGTTCAAGGGTCAGTAGTTTCCATGGCTGTTTTGTGTATTAGTGATAATAACCTTTTTTTGACATTGCCTGACAAAGAAGTAGGATCTGTAGTGGGAACTCCAGGAGATTTGTTAGTGCAGAGAGTCAGACTCTTAGGATTTTCATTAGCTTTTTGCCTTTTGCCTTTGTACTTGAGTGGTCTTGGCTATGTGCTGCTCCTTTATCTTCAACCCCTTGTTTGTACTGGAATGAAATCAACAAATAGAATTTGTGGCCTTTACTTCATAGAAGGGCAAGAGTTTTGAAACAAGCTTTACACTTTGACTTCTTTAGTCAGAGATATTTTATCTGTTTTTCTTTTATATTATACTACCTAAAGCCTTGTTTTTTCTGTCCGTAAACTGTAAATTCATGTTGTTTTTTCTGTTATTGAATAAATGATTCTTTTGAATTCTGACCTTCAAGACATATATGAGACTATGAATACTTTATTTAAAATGGTATTTATTAAGTGAGGATGTGTGGCAGTAGAAGACCACGTTTAGTGTTTGATGTGATTTTGTACCTGTTACATGCCCCATTACTTTCATGCTAAGCATTATCGATTTTTAAGAACACCTTCAACTTCATAACAGCTCTTAGAGAATAAAGAAACATTAAATAGGCTCATCGATTCCAGGCTGTATCTGGACTTTGAAAATGAGGAAAGAATTGTAGAAATGTGACAGCATGAGAGTCAGTATATGGTAATAGTTAAATGTTCTAGCCTTGTGATCAGATATATACCTGGGCTTACTCCCTACTCTGTTGTCAGTTCGTTGTGTGACCTTCTGTAGGTGACATTCTCACTGTGCCTTAGCTTCTTCATGTATAAAATTTGGCATGTAGCATCTATCTCATAATAGATTTTACAATAATTAAATGCTATACTGCACCTGGTAATCAAATGTGGTAGGTGGTGATAGTAGTGATTCTGTTGGTAGTTATTGGTAGTATTATTGGAGGAAGGAATCTGTTACCATACACTGGAGTCTTTCAGTGGAAATGTCTTTACATCCATCCATCCTGCCTGCCTGCCTGCCTGCCTGCCTGATGAATACAGTTAAGTCTCGGAGCTAGGGTATGACTGTGGAGATACTTTTTCAGTTTTGCTTCTTGAGAATACTTCCACCTTATTGGGTATTCCACATTTCCTTTTCTAACTTTAATGGAGTCACGTCTTTAACCCTAAAAGCAAGTTAATTTATAATCTCTGGAAAACAGATTGGGTTGCTTTAAAAATGATTTTCTACATTGTGAACAAGGAAGATTGTTGTAGAAATTCATTTTCAAAATAAAAGCAGTTGAAGCCAGTGATTTTTTGATGCAGCGGTGCTCCAAATTGGCTCTGCCCACAGGGAGTTACATTGTGGCCAGCAGAAACCATTGCCATTTACTAACCCATCTAACCTGTAATGAGTTGGGTGAAGGCTTGAATTGTCCCCATCCTTCTTGATGGTATGGAAATTACAGAGGCAAAAGCCAGGTGCAGAATTGCCTGAATATTGAATAAAGAATTGCTATATAGCTCTTTTACTGGTGGATAGAAGAATTACATCCAACTTTCTGACAGCTTTTCTTACAAAATATGTGTCATTTCATTCAATAATGTTAGGGATTACTTTATTTCATCAATTTCAAAATGTACATTTTCTCCCACATTTTTATGTTTTTAAAATCAGGGATACTCCTTACAAATGATGGCATCTGGAATTGGCCAGATGGCAGTTAGGATATAGCTGTCGTCTGCCTGCACACGAGTGAACTTGGTCATAGCTGTCTGTATTGTTGTCACTTCAATTGAATTGTGTGCATTTTTGGTATTATATGAGTTGAGTTCAATTGCCATTTAACATGTCTTCGGAAAGATTACCCTATAATTTGACATTGAAACACAATGTACATAATACAGCATGGAAACAGAAGTGAGGCACAACTTAGATACAGGGGAAGCCGATAATCGCCATTGAAGAAATGGCTGCAGTTCCTTGTTTCCTGCAAAGTCGTAGCCATGTGCTTCACCACACCTATAAAAGAAAATACCTAAGCAGAAGAGGCTCTGCAGTACTTCTCTTTCTGAGGTCTCTGCGAAAGCATTGCATATCACATGCCAAGCCAGAAAGCCAGCATTACAACTTGTGAAATGAGCATCAGTGGCTAGGAAGATACCTCTGAGATACTCTTAAGGAATGCTGACCGTATCCCCAACATTCTTGATGACTCAAGAATTGAAATAATGCAAAAATGTGTTTGGATTTGAAGTAATTCAGAAGTTTAAGACAATTCAGGACTATATCCGCCAAATGTGCATAATTTTTTCCATGTGCAAGAATAATGCGTAATAAAAATTTACACCTGAAGTCAGAAAGTTCTTTCAGCATTTTATAACATAAAAATTTAAAGTGGTAAGAAAACATTTTGACAGTTTAATTAGTGATGTTTTTATTTTCAATAGCATATCTCATCTGCGATTATTTGATTCAGTGACTTTGTTATTGAAACTATAAATATAATTCTTGGTGTAATTATTGTAGGTGCCTAATGGATAAGAACTTTGTTAGGATTGGGAAGTGGTTTGTCCGACCCTATGAAAAGGATGAAAAACCAGTCAACAAAAGGTGAGTCTTATGCTTTTAGTTTTTGTTCCTTTTGCTTGACCACAACTGTATTTTGGGAAGAGGTGGGTGGGGGAAGCAGCTTATTTATTTATCTTTTAATAATCTTAGTAATTTAGATGTCTTAAAATAGATTGCTGGATCACATTTTATTCAATATTCTATGATTAAATTTTTGTGGAATATTGGAAATTGGACTAGAAAGATTATCAATAACCCATGTCTAAGTCCCTTCTTACCACACTATTTGGAATTAAAATATTCTATTTTGTTATTTTCATTGTCCCTTTTATCTTTCTTCCTTAAAGTGTTATGTGACATAACATTAAAAACAGTCAACTGAATTCAAATGGTGATAATTTTTATAGAATTGATTGATGCCCCTTAAAAGTCAGTGAATACTTCTTTGAGAATTCTTAAACCAGGACTGTGAATTACTTTTCTAAATAATCCTAAACTTTTAAACATCATTTATTGTATGCTTGGCTTTAAAGGCAGTCCTTTATACTAAACAAGCATGGAATTTTAGATCAATCAAACCAGGATCAAAAACCAGAGCCTTCAAAGCCAAATATTTACTCTACTTACCTCTGAACACAGCATAGACTTAATTGGAGTCAAAAGTTGATGGGTGATTATTTCATTTCTGAAGAGGAGTGCACACAATCTCAATTCTGTTTTACTGTGTGTGAACTTGCCCCAAGCTAAGGATTCCAGCTCCTGGCTGCAGATAAGAGCTCTTGATCCCTTACATGGTAGCCATAAGGTTAGATCGTTTTAGGTAGTTTGTTAGGTAGTTTGCCACAATTTTGGCTGGCAGCTCCTGCCTCTTTTGGAACCTTTACTTTCTTAACTTTCTTGTGCCTACTGGGGATTTAATTAGCAGTAGCAGCCTTCTCTCCCAACTTGTATGTCTTAAAGCTTTGGTGAAATGGTTGTGGAATCTCATTAACCAAGCCTAATTTATGAAAATCGGGATTTCCTTTTTCAAATCAGGTAAGTTAGGGACTGGCATTTAAACAATTTTTTTTTTTTTTTTTTTTGCCAAATCACCATGAACTTCTTTAAAATATTTTCCCTTTTTTTAGTACGTTTCAAGTCCTTTAGGATTTATAAAAAAAAGTTTGTTGTTTTTTTTTTAAAGATTTTATTTATTTATTTGTCAGATATATAGAGAGCGAGCAGAAGCAGGGGGAGCGGCAGGTAGAGAGAGAAGCAGGCAAAGGGAGAAGCAGGCTCCTGCTGAGCAAGGAGCCTGATGCAGGACTTGATCCCAGAGCCGGAGGCAGAAACTTAACCGACTGAGCCACCCAGGTGTTTCCCCCCAAAAATGTGTTTAAATAGGAAGTAGGTGTTATGTATAACAAAGTTTGCCTGAAAAGGATAATAAAACTTTTTAAAGAGTACTGGTGTGTATGGGTGTGTAAAAGTGTGGTTTTGTTGACAGATGCTTTGATGGACAGGAATTTTTTTCCTTTATTTATGTTGATTTGGTCTAAGTAATGCATTTGTTCCATGGACATAATTAATCTTAGTGTTTCCTTAAATTTACAGAAGATGTAGATTTTCTGTTAACTCGTTTGGGGTTCGGGTGGGCTGAACTGGTGTTTCAGGTTTGGGCTTTTATGGTGGTAAGTGAATGGTTACATACGGAGTTGCTTTGGCACAGTAGTCTTTACCATTCATTCCTGTGCGCCTCTCCATGCTCTGTGTGTGTGCTTACAGCTGGTCGCTGATGGTGAACTAACAGAGCCAGTCCTAAAACTTTTGAAGACTAGGTATAGGTACTTGTATGATGATTTCACAGTAATGTGGGGATGAAGGGGAAATGTGGAAATAAAATAGGGATTGAAAGAGTAGTGGTTAGTATTTTAATGGTAAAAACTAATGTTTGAAGTCAAATGTAGTTACCAAATCTATTTTATATAACCTCTATTTATCTTTGCACTGGGATTTACATCCCAGAAGTCTTCCTAACTTTAGCAGACCAGATGTAAATAATACTTGTAGTATATTTAGATATTTGATGTGTAACTAGGAGCCTATTGATTTCTGAGCAATGTAATTGAATTATTTCATTATTTTTAGATTTTATCCTCATGGTTGAATGTAGCACTTCATTTTATTGTAGTGCAGAAATGTTAATGATCTTGAAAAAACTATTTTAGGAGGTATTGTTAACAATTGACAAATTTTTAAACCAAACATTCGATTTTAAAAGTTGGCATTTGGGGCGCCTGGGTGGCTCAGTCGTTGAGCATCTGCCTTCGGCTCGGGTCATGATCCCAGGGTCATGGGATCAAGCCCTGCATCGGGCTCCCTGCTCAGCGGGAGGCCTGCTTCTCCCTCTCCCACTCCTCCTGCTTGTGTTCCCTCTCTCGCTGTCTGTCAGATAAATAAATAAAATCTTTAAAAAAAAACTTATTAAAAGTTGGCATTTGCTGGGGCGCCTGGGTAGCTCAGATGGTTAAGTGTCTGTCTTCGGCTCAGGTGATGATCTCCTGGTCCTGGGATGGGATGGAGCCCTGCATTGGCGCTTCAGGCTCCCTGCTCACTGTCTCCACCGCCCTGCCCCCATGGCTGCTCTCTCTCTCTCAAATGAATAAATAAAATCTTTTTAAAAAGTTGGCATTTGCTGTAATAAAACTTTGTTTAGGCACAGTGTTTTTTTTCCACTTTTATTCTCTGAATGGAAAATAGAGCCTCTTGTTGGATGCTGAAACAGGATTTTAGTGGTCAAGTCATTTTGGATGGACAGAGTGATGCTGTAGAGGAGGACATTTAGATTTAGAAGATTAGGGATAACATCCCATGCCTCTCTTTAGAAGTTATATAAGCTTTTGGACAAGTTGTTTAGTTTTTCTGAGCTGAACTTTGTTTAACTGAGTTGATGATAGTAATTACTACCTTAAAGGGTTATTGTGAAGATTAAATGAGGTAATTTATGTGGCTAGCTTATACTTTAATTGAGAAAAAGCAAAAGTGCTAAACAACTTTTATGTACAAATTTGCATTTTTCGGTATGCTCTTATTTGATGCCATTAGATACAAATAAGAGAAATATACTTCAAAGAATAGTATTCTGGGGCGCCTGGGTGGCTCAGTTGGTTGAGCGGCTGCCTTCGGCTCAGGTCATGATCCCAGAGTCCTGGGATCGAGCCCCGCATCGGGCTCCCTGCTCAGCAGGGGGCCTGCGTCTCCCTCTCCCACTCCCCCTGCTTGTGTTCCCTCTCGCTGTCTCTCTCTCTGTCAAATAAATAAATAAAAATCTTTACATTAAAAAAAATTATAAAGAATAGTATTCTAAGTGTAAAATTAAGTAGGTCTAGCACATCGATACTTTTGTTCAATAGAATAAAAATGTTTTAACACAGTATATTTTATGTAGCTAAAATAATTCTAATAGTGTTGACAAATTAATATATTGATGAATAGGTTTCACTATTGGATTAACAGCATATGATTTCCTGAGCTATAATTTCTCTCTGTATTGATAGCAAAACTAAATCATTTGTTAGTGGACTCTAAAAGAGTTCTTAATGTTTGATACGATATGATGGTCAGGATAATTTTACAAACAATTTATTTTAGAAAAATACATTTTATTTTAGAAAAATATATATAAATTTGAACAGGCAGGTCCAAGAAGATAAAAGGAATTTATTCATGTTGTCTTTTTCTTTCTTTCTTTTTTTTTTTAAAGATTTTATTTATTTGACAGAAGAGAAGAGAGCGTGTGTGTGAGCACACAAGCAGGGGGAGTGGGAGAAGGAGAGGCAGGCTCCCGTGCTGATCAGGGAGCCCGATGTGGGGCTCAATCTGAGGACCCTGGGATCATGACCTGAGCCAAAGGCAGACGCTTAACAACTGAGCCAGACACCCCAATATTGTCTTTTTCTTTATGGTGACACATCTTTTGTTACTCAAATCCTTAGGAATATAATAAGTAGGAAAGAAAACTTTGGCTTTCTCTTAAAGAGTTGTGACAACTAACATCAAACAAACAAAGTTTCTGGGTTTCTAAAGTATGTTGAACTTGAAAAAACTTTTCCTTCCAGGATATGCTTAAAAACAAACCAGTGAAAGGGCACCTGGGTGGCTCAGTTGGTTAAGCATCAGCCTTCGGCTCAGTCCTGATCTCAGGGTCCTGGGTTCGAGGCCTGAGTTGGGCTCCCTGCTCAGTGGGGAGTCTGCTTCTCCCTTTCCCTCTGCCCCTCGTCCCCCCCGCTTGTGTACTCTCTCTCTCAAATAAATAAAAATCTTAAAAAACAAACAAACAGTGAGAAGTTGTATTCCTTTAAAATAATTTAGAACTTATTCATGGAGATTCTATTTAGTCTTAGTGTTAGCCCATATTTGATTACTTCAGAATTTGAAGTTTATACACTTTATTTTTTGAATGCTAATTTTAGTAAAATAATTGATAGCTCCCAGTAACAGTTTGGACCTTTGATTTTTTCCTGTTATCAGGTGTACAGGAATTGAATTAACACAAATAGATACTTGCTGGTGCATTTTCTGAATTGATCAGCTGTTTTTTCCTCATGGGCAAACCTACCTGCTCTTGGATGATACTACAAATAGCCTTATATACTTTTAAATATTCTAATTACTTTTGTATGTGCTGCTAGCAGGTACGCATGTGTGGCAGCTCACACACAATTGGAAGTGTATAATTTTGACTGCTTTTGTGTTGTTTCGTTTGGGTATTTTTTCTACTTTAAAGCCAGAGATTACTTTTTTAATTTCTTTTTTATGTTTTCACAATACCTCACCTATATATTCAAGAATTGCCCTTACCTTTTGGTTTTAATAGCAAAAAAATGGATTTTATATAACAAGATGAAGTACTTTGATGTAGGAGAATATTTAAAGCACTTTAAAGCTTCCCTGCCCTCTGTTTCCTCACCACTACCTTCCCTGCCTCCCTTTTTACTTCTCAGGCATCTTCCCGTCCTCTTCTTTCCTGTACTTTTCTTACGATGGCCCAGTTATCTGTGTTT